AAAAACTGAGTCATAACTGCGTCACGCAGGTATATCTCAGGTTTAGTGACCTTGTGGGATCAAATATAAGCAGAAACGACCTATATTATCCACTGGACACAATGGGAAGAAAATCCAGCGCATACGAGATAAATCTAAGCCCTAAAAACATCTCAGATGCATTAAAAACGGAAAATAATATATATTATATATATATATATATTATAATATATATATATAATATATATATATATATATATATATATATATATATATATATATATATATATATATATATATATATATATATAAATTTTCATTTTTTATACATCTGAGATGTTTTAGGGCTTAAATTAATAAAAACTTTCAATTAATTAACTACACTGTAACTCTGGAACCTATACATTGCATACAATGCAAAAATTTATCTATACATCTATTTTGGGTAAAGAACAAAAAGACACAATACCATGACTGGAACAATATACAAATAACCTTCACATAGGAGAGAAAAGTTTATGACGACGTTTCGGTCCTACAAGTCAGTCCAAATCGGACCGAAAAGTCGTCATAAGATTCTCTCTTGAGTGTGAGGATTATTTGTGTATTTTCGGCGTTCCAGCGTGATAATACCCTTGGCCCTTCAAAGATTTTAATCGGGCACTGGACCACAGCCCCACTCTCTTACCTTACATATTTATTTATTAAGCTCAAGAAGTAGTGGAGGCTTGATCCTCCGTCCACTGATCGTTGGACGGATGCGCTACTCTTACAGGGTTTCCCCGCATCTATAAGCCGGATCCAAACACTCTCCGCTCATTTGTCAGCGTTCATAAGTTCTTACCTATAACGTTACACTTACTGATGGGTTACCTAAATGTGGTCAGAATTAATTTGTCTAGTAATCTGAGTTCAGTTTCAAGCCTTTTTTCCACACCATCCAATGACATGGAAGAGTAAAGACGGAATTAAAACTGAACCTACTACCTTTTCCAGTTCATTTATCAAGGCACATCAAAGCCTTCGAAACTCAAACTCATTTATTTATTCTCAGATTCATTTATTATGTCAGTAAATTATTTGACACAGTCGATGATTTGAAGTACATTACTTTTTTAAAGTCAGACAGTGAGATTAACACAGTAAGGTACAGGTGAGGTTAGAACCCATGACAAGTGAGTCGCAAAACTTGAGCTAGAGTCCGTCACTTCCACGCTAATGGGAGATTCATATGTAAAAACTTGCATTTGTGGTCACAGTGGTGGCCCATGCTAACCTTCCTGTAGTGTATAAATGCGCCTAGTTGGATGAATCGTATTGCAGGCAGGTGGTCCAGTGGTTTCCGCACTGGCCTGGAGTTTTACGACTCACTTGCCATGGGTTCTAACCCCATCTTTTCCGTTGTTTGTTTCTAGTCGTGTTATTACGATTTCGTGAGACATGATTGGTACGTGGCGCGTCTTGGGCAAGACTAATACAAAAAAAAAAAGGATTATGGCTTAGTAATTCCACTTTACGTTTCGATCGTCCTGGACCATTATCAAGTCGCTAGTGATATTGAAATTTTTCCCAGGAGGGACCGAAACGTCGGTTAAAGTTTCTCTTCTAGTTGTGTGTTAACAGTGTGTTGTTCCAGCCACGGTATTTTGCATGTGATTTATATTCTCATTGATGTCGTTGTAAAGGAGAGATTGTGAAGTATAATGAAACCATCGTGTAAAAAGAAGAGAGAGTCCTGCTAAGGCTGTCAGCTTCAACTGGGCCCTTCCAGGAGGGATGCTGGTGAAACGTTCTTGATACTTGGAATTACAGCCATGTTTCCCTTAATTGAATCAAGCCTGACTGTTTTCCGTCTTTCATGCACTGTATGACCCTATTCGGGCCTATCTCTTTCCTATATACTACTACTAGTACCTACTACTATTACTACTGATAATAATAACAGCTTCAGCCAAGTTTATAATCAACTCCTTCGTCAGAAGCGGACACCTTGACCAGTGATCACCATTTACCTCTCATACAGAATAGGTTAGTGACACTCTGTGGGAGTTCTCACCATGAAATTCTCAAACAGGACATGATAGCCATCCTTTGCCGGTGTTCCCATCGTGTAATTCTAACACATTATTCTGTGTGAGAATTACTTGGTGGGAACACTAGCAGAGTGTGTCTGTCCAATTGTACATGAGCCACACACTGCGGGTGTTCCCACCTTGTAACTCTCGTATACACCCTGGTAGATTCAGTTGTTCCAACCATTTATTCTCATTTATAATAGTTACGTTTCACTATAAACTGCGGGTGTTCCCACCATATACCTCATCCAGACTGGGATAATCTCACACGCTGGATGTACCCACCATGTGAATACTAGAATTGGGTAGAAGGGCACTGCTGATGTATCTAAGTTTGTTAGAGTTTAAAAACTAAGTTCTTGTGTGTTTGTTTTTCAGGTCCGCCCACCACCATCATGGTCAACATGAACGTCCGCTCCATGGGACCCTTCTCCGAGAAACAAGAGGTAAGAGTACAGCCTCCTGCTGCGTCTCCTTCAGTGTCTTAAGATTAGAGTGTTCCTCTTCGTGATGGTCTCTACATCATGCTGAATTATATATTTGTTTTCCAGGAAGCAAATATTCACAAAATAACAAGATTTTGGTGAGTTACGATCTAATCGTGTTTGTGTGACCATGTTCGTGAAATTGAATTAGTTGATGGAATTGACGCCCTTTGGATGACACCTAAACACCATCATCAATCATACATGACTGCACAAGACAGTAAATAAGTGTAAGTTTCAGGCCTATTGACTGTACGTGGGTCATTAGGATTGGAATTTACTTATATACTAAAAATATAACGTGGAATACGGTTTATTCATATGAAATCTATCCTGTGTTGTGTTATATTTAAGTGACTTATAATCTCGTCCATTAAATACTACCCGAGGTGAACGACCTAGAATACAGTTAATCAGATAGTGCATAGTGGAGCTACAGATTGCTATTAGTCGTAGCTTCGGATGAAAGCCACAGTGACATGCCCAAAGGCACCAGCATCATCAAGTGCAACTACGTATCTTTGATTCATTCAGTGACATACGCTGCGTAGTGGAGATGTTCAACAAATCAGCTGCAGAGATACGACCTTTCGTAAAACCAAAATTATTGTCAGGTAGTAACTATTGGTGGAAAAGTATGATGAGTAAGACACACGTGCAATAGTTGAATATCTTAAAACGTTTCGCCTTCATAATAGGTTTATTCAGTTAAATACAGAGTCAGCAGGAGTAGCAGCGAAGATAAGATGAAGTAATTAGTGGTCAGTCTCTCAGCTTGAAGGAATTACCACCTCAAATACTATTTCTCCAAGGCTGGTGGACTGATTACATCTTTACTTCGCTGCTGCTCCTGCTGACTCTATATCTGACTGAAGAAGCCTACTGTGTAGGAGAAACGTTTCAAGATTCCCAACTGTCACACTTGTGTCTTACTCACCAATTTTAAGCATGGAAACGTGTAATTGGCTTTCGCTTTCTCGTGTCATTTTTATTAGTGATCAATTGCAGTGACTCTGGCCTGTATAGTTGCTTTTTAATGAGAGACAACCAGGTTCGATTGGAGGACAGGGGAGGTAGTTTCAATATCTTGCATTAAGGTTCCTTTACCAATGTATAAGGCATCTACTTTGATGGGTTAGCAAATGGTGATGGAAATATATTCTTAGATAAATAAGCAAGTTGATCCTTCACCAAACACTCAGTTGTGGAGTCAACTCTTCCTGATTCTACTTTATTTATTCTCTGATTTGTTGCTCTTTCTCACCTGTTTTTCCTTCACTTGCTCTCTCTCTCACTCTCTTTCACTCTCCTTTCAGCTCTCTCTAGTGACCATACTCTTATACTTGAAAAGAGTGGCACCTGTACACCAAAACTTAGTGTTGGCACTGCTCTGGGCACCTCGGGCACAGTGCCACTACGACGACAACACGCTGAGTCTTATCTAACTTATGTGTTTCCTTTTAGTCTCCTGATGTTACTGCCTCGTTGTGTACCTCTTTATCTTGTCCTCAAGTCATTTCATTTAAAATCTTGTAATATATGTAATTTCTCCTCTTCCTTCTTCGGGCGTCTTCCCATCGAGGGAAGACGCTCTTGATGGGATCCTGAGTCAAGGAACTGATGATATCCTTTATATTCCACGAATCAGTTCACAAATAACCCAAAGCCTTGGAGAGAAAGTATTTACGTTCCAGTCCGTCCAAGGTAATTGTCATATCTGTAAGCGCTGTTGTAAATAATTCCTTACCATCGGATCAAACCTAGCCACTTCCCAGTCCCCAGGTGCCCCATAACCCTTATGGATTTAGAGCTTTCCCATCAATCTAACGATAATAATAGTAATAATAATAAAACCATTAATAATAAATATAAGAAAAATATTAATACAAAAGTACTACTACTACCAATAATAATAATAATAAGTAGAAGAAAAATATTAATGCAATAATAATAATAATAATAATATATTAAATAATTAATACATAATAATAATAATAATAATAATAATATAATAATAATAATGATATATAATAATAATAATAATAATAATAATAATAATAATAATAATAATAATAATGATAATAATAATAATAATAATAATAATAATAATAATAATAATAATAATAATAATAATAATAATAATAATCATGTACACTATCACTATGAATGTTTGTGATTTTACTTGTAGTCGAGGTGGGGAAGGACTAAGGAAAGGAATGGAGCAACAAGGAATAGCGAACTGATTAAGTTCATTAGCTAGACTTTCAAGTCTAAGCATCAGGCCTCAAACGCTGCATCATCGGCAAAAACCAACTGTGATTAATTCCCACTACGAATCGTATTCGCTGACTTTCCGTCCCACAACTCTCCCATCAACTCATCTATAAATATTTTAAACAACAATGATCAGGGCCTCCGGCTCAAAGTTTTTTTTTTCCCTGATTCAATTTTGTCATGGCGTCCGCTCTCCTTCAATTTTTTTTATTTTTTTTTTTAGCTGAAAAACAATTTTTTATATACTTTTATTCTAGTCAGTGCGACCACACCTGGCTTCTCCCACACCTGGCTTCTCCCACACCTGGCTTCTCCCACACCTGGCTTCTCCCACATCTGGCTTCTCCCACCCTGGCTTCTCCCACACCTGGCTTCTCCCACACCTGGCTTCTCCCACACCTGGCTTCTCCCACACCTGGCTTCTCCCACACCTGGCTTCTCCCACACCTGGCTTCTCCCACATCCTGGCTTTCTCCCCACCTGGCTTCTCCCACACTGCTTCTCCCACACCTGGCTTCTTCCACAACCTGTTTCTCTCACACCTGGCTTCTCCCACACCTGGCTTCTCCCACACCTGGCTTCTCCCACACCTGGCTTCTCCCACATCTGGCTTCTCCCACACCTGGCTTCTCCCACACCTGGCTTCTCCCACACCTGGCTTCTCTCACACCTGGCTTCTCCCACACCTGGCTTCTCCCACACTGGCTTCTCCCACACCTGGTTTCTCCCCACCTGGCTTCTCCCACACTTGGCTTCTCCCACACTTGGCTTCTCCCACACTTGGCTTCTCCCACACCTGGCTTCTCCCACACTTGGCTTCTCCCACACCTGGCTTCTCCCACACTTGGCTTCTCCCACACCTGACTTCTCCCACACCTGGCTTCTCCCACACCTGGCTTCTCCCACACCTGACTTCTCCCACACTTGGCTTCTCCCACACCTGACTTCTCCCACACCTGGCTTCTCCCACACCTGGCTTCTCCCACACCTGGCTTCTCCAACACCTGGCTTCTCCCACACCTGGCTTCTCTCACACCTGGCTTCTACCACGCCTGGCTTCTACCAAGCCTGGCTTTTCCCACAACTGATTTCTTCCACACCTATCTTTTCCCACACCTGTGTTCTCCCACACCTGGTTTCTCTCACACCTGGCTTCTCTCACACCTAGCTTCTCCCACACCTGGTTTCTCCCACACATGGTTTCTCCCACACCTGGCTTCTCTCACACCTAGCTTCTCTCACACCTGGTTTCTCCCACACATGGTTTCTCCCACACCTGGTTTCTCCCACACCTGGCTTCTCTCACACCTGGCTTCTCTCATACCTTGCTTCTCCCACACCTGGTTTCTCTCCCACACTGGTTTCTCCCACACGACTTCTCTCACACCTAGCTTCTCCCACACCTGGTCTTCTCCCACACCTAGCTTCTCCCACACCTGGCTTCTCCCACACCTGGCTTCTCCCACACCTGGTTTCTCCCACACCTGGTTTCTCCCACAGCTGGTTTCTCCCACACCTGGTTTCTCCCACACCTGGTTTCTCCCACACCTGGTTTCTCCCACACCTGACTTCTCTCACACCTAGCTTCTCCCACACCTGGTTTCTCCCACACCTGGTTTCTCCCACACCTGGCTTCTCCCACACCTGGTTTCTCCCACACCTGGTTTCTCCCACACCTGGCTTCTCTCACACCTAGCTTCTCCCACACCTGGTTTCTCCCACACCTGGTTTTCTTCCCCACACCTGGTTCTCCCACACCTGGTTTCTCCCACACCTGGTTCTCCCCACACCTGGCTTCTCCCACACCTGTTTCTCCCACACCTGGTTTCTCCCACACCTGGTTTCTCCCACACCTGGTTTCTCCCACACCTGGCTTCTCCCACACCTGGTTTCTCCCACACCTGGCTTCTCTCACACCTAGCTTCTCCCATACCTTGCTTCTCCTACACCTGGCTTCTTTCAAACCTTTCTTCTCTCACACCTAGCTTCTCTCACACCTGGCTTCTTTCACACCTGTCTTCTCCCACACCTGGCTTCTCCCACACCTGGCTTCTCCCACACCTGGCTTCTTTCACACCTCGCTTCTCCCACACTTCGCCTCTACCACACTTCGCCTCTCTATACTTCACTTCTCCCACACCTTCTACTTCACTTCTCTTACACATATCTCACTTCAATCGTCCTAATTTTCTATACAAAAATTCCTTTTTTCCTTCATTTTTTTTAGACAGCTAGTGATATTTAATCCTTCATATACACAGCTCTTGCGATTTTTGTCGCCCCTTCCACTTTGGCTCCCCGAGCCAGTACCAGTTTGGTTCAACCCCCCTTCCCCTTCCTCCCTTAATCCTGCCCTCACCATGGTGACTTCACATATTCTTGTTTTAGGCCTACTTTTAATGAAAAATAATTCCCCACATACACTAAGCTGAACTTACTTTCCTCATAAAGGCTATACTGATTTTCAGTATCGTACAACCTTTTCCATACTTTTGCAACATCTGCCACATTGCACACGTAGCCAGCATCTCATATGTTTTTTTTAAATAAATGAATGTAACAATTCTTACCTTCATCCAAATATTGTTCCTCAGTGCAAATGCTTGATTTACTCTTCCCATATAATTCCTAAATTCTCCTTATTTCCTCGTAACTCTACTCTCAATTTTACCACTAACTCTCACAAA